TTATACCTGAGCTTGAGGTCGCGGTGGTATTTGTGAAATTACTCGCATGTAGTTTGTCCCAATCCTTCGGTAAGTTTATATAGCTCTCCTCGTCCAACCGACCAAGTCGACCACAAGAAAAAAACGACAGAAAACCTGACCACCGCCGAACCAATCGCAAACATGTCAACGTGATCACATTCTACCCACGATGCAATGGTAACCTTCACCTTGGACGACCAAGCCCCAAAGACCCCAAAGAGCCCCCGGCGCGCCCCGGCCTTTTTCATCCAATGCACGGGCTCGTCACACCAAATCCGCACCGCTTACATACCTGTAGTAGGAAAATTTAAAAAAGGATCTCCGCTGCAAAACCTGGAAGCCGGATCTGCCCGTCCAATGGCAGACCCAGGAGACGGTTTGGTACGTCCTGCGCGCCGGCCCAATCAGAATCGCCGTCCGATGATCGCCGTTGGTCGTTGCTCCTTTGGAGCTCGGGCGGCTAATAAAGGGGGGGGGGGGGGGGGGTTGATTTTTATAACTAAAAGCTTACAGATCCGTACGAGCGACGCAGCAAGCTTTTCGCGTTTGTTGGAATCTCGTTGGTCGGATCTTTGTTGGGGACGGGGCCCAATAGCAGCAGTCAATTAAGATATAACACGCTTATATTGTAGAATTGGAGAGCTGATCACCCGGTGTGGGTTAGGTTTGAATTGAAGCGGTCCCATGATAATATTTGATGTTGATTATATTGTGGTATGTGCTTAGCCACCCCTGGTGACCTATGTAACTGGGGTTTCTTGGTTTTGTTACCCTTTTTGGGGGCCTTTGTGTGACTTTTATAGAAAGTTGCATGCGCTCACTTCGATATGACCTCTTTTGTCGCTTTGATTAGTACTTGGAAGGTTTTCATCCATCTGAAGGTAGGCGTTCGACTAACACTCCCACCTAAAGTATGTCTACTTTGCCCCCATCGTATGTTGAAGGATCGATGACGGACATCTGAATAATGCCCAACTGCGCTCTTGGCATGCATACAAGCTCTAAAATCAGTTCATGTTTTGGGGTTGAGGTTAAAATATCACTGAGGATGTGACGACAGCGCAACAATGCCCCTAACTACATAAACGTCACAACACAATACGGAATTCGTTCTGGATAAGATACAAGTCAGATCTGTCTGGGCATCTAAATATAAATTCAAATGGTAAATTTCATAACGTCTAACCCTTTATCGACGCCAACCCGCACAACATCTCAGGCGCCCATTATCTGGCTGGATTCATACTTCATCCCCATCTCACTAATGCACCAGTCCCTATCCCATCGATTCATCGTGCTCGGGCCCTCGAATCGATCTATCGCCCGCGAATCGCTCACGTAATAATGGCTCCCGCGATGGTATTCGGGTCGATAGGCATACGCAGCCACGTGATGAAGGAGGCAGAAGAGACAACAATCCACCTACACATTTTGTGAGGAGGAGTCTGAGTCACGCGGAAGTTGTGTCGTCGCCGGATCACGGACCAAAGACCCGAAAAGGCTTTGGTTGGGGGCGCGAGTAGGATCGAGCGTCGCGCATGTTGGGACAATCTGACGAGGATTTAGTAGGGGCTTAGTATTGCGACGCTTGTTGGCCGTTAGATATTTTTCAATTCAGATTCGCGGCTTATACCTGGATATATATAGAATAGAGGACATAGGGGAAGACATACCGCGGAAAAAAGAGTCTTAGAAGAAACTGATGACCACACCAACACTAGTGAGAACCGCAAGCCAGACGAATCGCTATCTACGAACCTCCTGGAAGACGTATCACCATCGATATTGCTATAATACCATATGAGAGCCAGCAATCCGCACAAAACGGACACCAGGACCAATGGTCCAGTGTATCCCAACATCATGAAAGGGTGGTAGTGTTTACCTTCCTAGGCGCAGCATGGTGGCCCTGAAGTTCCTTTTCTTCATTGCTAATTTAGCCTGGTGCATAGCTCTCATACCCATCATGAAGCATGCTTCCATAATCGATCGTCCCGTTCACCCCATAGAAGTAATCCAGTTTGAACCTCCAGCATCTTAGTACCATGAGTATTGTTAGCGCCGCAACAGTCATGTCCCCCAGAGTCGCGAGTGTAGCCTTAGCTGCTTCGTCAAAAACACTAAGCACATACGTAGTTGCGCGCAGACCCGCTACCTTTGCTACATCCTGCGCCTTGTAGATCAAACGCGACGGCCTCGGCCGCCAATGGGACCAGTAACGTAGAGGCGAGCCAAAGAATAGACGTCATGAAGGCCAAAGCTTACCTACCGAGCAATGAGCGCATGCTAGCAACGACTAATTACCACCCGGAAGTATTAAGACACTGTAATTCACAGCCCGAGACGCCGCCGCGGTCGTGCATTAACTCATACTAGGGCTATAGACCTTGGCATTGATGTCGACGATATTAATTGAGATTGCAAAAAAGGTGGCGAGAAGCGCAGAGAGGAACGTCCAGATGAAGTACTAGCCAGAGCTAATGGTGTAGGTCTCGGGTACGATACTAGAGGGGGCGGTGGGGTATAATGTTTATGTTACCGTTGAAGTGCCATTTGAGTCTGTCTTGACTATGGCGGAGCGTCTGATGAGGATATACGTTTCTTGCGTGGCTATAGGCTGGCCTCGAGAGTTTATCAGGGTGATTGTTTGGGGTCTTGAGACCAGTGTTGAAATGCTTGTCGACATTATTGTTACCCCTACGAGTCGATTGTGACATCGACAGCTCGTGTTACGAAGGCAAGTATTTGAGGTGCCGTCTCCGAGACCGTGATAGCCCCACACCACCATGATCTGAGAGCGGTTTCATTGCGGCGCTCGTTAAAATATTGTCCAACATGGTCTTAGATCCAACGTTATCATAGTCTGTGCTGCCTTTCGTAAGCGTTACCGTACGCGTTACCTTACGCGTTGTAGTCTCAGAAACGGCCACAAGTCCAGAAACGTTTCCGAAGTTGCCCTCCGGTTTAGCCCACGCAGGTTCAGTAGTGACTGGAGATGAGATCCCATAATTGGGTTGGTGCTATCCGGTGACGGGGCTGTGTATGGGCCTACTAGGTACCTCACTAATAGTCTAGACACCAGCGTGTCCACGATCGTCTTGAACTACTGTTGAAGTTGCTATGGGCTCGGATGTAGATAGAGGGTTAGGTTCAGACACTTCTTCAGTAGTCTCAGCCCAGACAGCAATACGAGCAGCAGTGAAGCATGCCCAACCTTCCCTAAGTCGATGGAGGCAACCGTGTAGACGACCAAAACCTGAAACTCTCTCCCATGAAGGGTGTACGATATCAAGCTTATTGTTAAGTACACTACAGGTTGGACATGTACAGGTGTCTCCTGGCATAATACTGTCGGTCATATCCATACTGTTCATCGCAACGTCCCAGACTTTCAATAGCCCCAAGACCAACCACACGGCAATGGCATCCTCTCGGAGCAATGGAGTAAAGAAGTATGTATAGCGGATCTCGAATGAGACTAAGAATTTTCGTAGATGGTAGTAATGATCCTGAGATCGCGATGTGTCGTGGCGTAGAGTTCGGGACTGATTATGAGCTGCTACCCCTGTCGGCAGCCACGAAACCCTCCGTCTTAGTCAGATGGGAATTGAATTTGTAATTCATCAAACGATCCTCAAACGATACTTCACAACTTGATAACATCTGCGTTGTTACTACCGTTTAAGCTCAAGGTATGTTCGATTCATCCTCAAGTTATCGAATTAAGCCTATTGTCTAATACACGCTGATTAGTTTGAACACGAACAGTTACACGGAATTTGTAGTGACCCAAGCTACAGGGAGGAAGCATCGGTTTGCCCAAGACAAGATGTCTTCCGAATCTGCATCGCCACTGAGGATGCTATTCCTGATCGAAGGCATCATGAAGCTCGCGGGGGGTTTGGTGTTCATAATCTCGCCCCAGACTCCCCTGTCTGTTGCGGTAGCAGCTCCCATCCCGCCGTCAGCCCTATTCTTGACGCGACTACTGGGCACACAGACCTTTACATTAGGCGTTTCTATGCTTCACGCGTCAGCTAGAACACCTAAGGCAGTTGCGAGCAGACGAATTATATACTGGACGATATTCGTGAGAGACGTTACTTTGGTGACCGTAGCGGCATCGCAACTCTTGCTTGGCGACAATAGCAACGCTTTGGGATTTTCGCCGAAAGGGCTGCGTTCATGGCTCACGGAATTGATGCCCTTCTGTTTGGGTCACTTGTGGATTCTTACCACGAAATCGCATTGGTTCTAATTGTGGTGATGATTTCCCTTCAAACCTCTGCGTTGGCCGTTGTGTTGTAAGTAGGAGAACGTGGAGAACGAAGTTTGTCCTGTTGTTTGCATTGTTCGGTGTAGGTGGTTAGACATACGTATGCATTCTCGCTTGCATCTAGAGATAATGGGAGCAAAGGGCAGTGCGATAATCCAGAGGGACATTTGAGGAATTCATGTTTGTTGAGAAGGCGGACGCTCACACTTCTCTTGATTGCCTCGACCTTAGATGCTCTAGTTGGTGCAATCTATGTATGCGATATTCCTTTCATGGATATCATGTCGTCCTAATCGTATCTTACTTACGTCGCGATTATCTGTCTTAATTCTCAATTGTTCTGGTTCATAAAAGACGTGACCGCTTCGACATGAACAGTACATATGTAGGTATGAGGCACCCGAGTAGGTACATAATCGGGCAGTCGGGTACTTTACGTTCCAAGGTTTGATGATAAAATTGGTGCAACAGTTCAAATATTCTCGTGAACTCAAGGAAACTCCTAGCAAATAACTATTCAGTTGCTATCTCCTAATCGTATTTTAATTGCTCAAATGCGTCACAGTCAAAAGTTTAAAATGACAAAGAAATTGAGGGAGCATGTGGAAGAAAGTGCATTCAATAAACAAATTTGTACATCTCAATGCCTTGAAATCATTTGGGAAGGTGCGCCGGTTCAAATATTTTGACAAAAAGACAGATGCATCCCGTGCCGGGCTCGAACCGGCAACCTTTAGATGTCCAGCATTTGTTGCATAGAAGTCTAACGCGCTGCCATTGCGCCAACGGGACCTCGGGCAGCATGAACCCCTCACTTGATTGGGCTGTCTGGTGGCTCATTCATCGAGCTGCGTGCCGAATTCCTTTCCGGATTGATGGTTTGCTTTTCAAGCTAAATTATATACCATTCAATGTTTCAAATGCCAAAAAGGTCATGCACAGACCAGTTTCCCTAGAATCTGGCGAGGGAGGGTGGATGATAAGAAGCGATAAGCTTCCATTTGAGTTGATTGGCTTAATTGATTCGCAACTTTAATTGGATGCGCTCCTTCCACCTAAACCCTCGATCCGACCAACCTCGATCTTATCCCTTTAGTTGGCATAAGACTACAGCTCCACCACAAGTTGTAACTGTACTGCCAACAGCCCCTGAGCTCCACTGGAACCCACAAATCCTTAATCCTGATTGGCAGGATTTAGCACTGCCCTCCTAAAGATCACTGTACAATGCTGTACGTCCCCTGAGAGCCTCAACACCCTAATATCAACAGTATTGCTACCCCAATTGTGGAGACTGTAGTCTTATGCCAACTAAAGGGATAGAAGCTACCTACCTAGGTATGTAGGTAGGTACAACCTTCAAATCTTATACCTACTGAATTGCAAATGCCCTACTGATCCTTGTCCAAGGGTGGAATCACGTAGCTACCTAATTTAGGCAGTATCAAGATGCGCTCCTGTCCAGGTGATGAAAACATGCGCACTTGCCTTTCCTATATTATCATAGGCAACTATGGCGGACTAGGTGTGTGCTTGTGTCGTACCTACCTAGGTAGGTATATTTATCCCCTAGGAATCTCTTTTTCTAAGGTTAGGTTTCTTCTCTCCTTTTCTCATCAACATTCTGTCACGATGAGCATTGAGGACCATATGGTGTAGAATGCGTACTGTTGTGGCCTCAGTATTGACTCATACATAAGCTCCCACAGAGCGATTTTCACAATAACTTCTTTTCTCCTTTCCCTTCCTTAGGTCACAAAAGTTGATTTTGGTCAAAACCATAACAAAATGATGTTTTCATGCTGAATGCACATCTAGCTGGTTATCAGGACAGTCGTCTCGATATCTCGAGCTCATTGAACAGCCCAGTCGGACGCCAACATTCCTAAGTTAGAACAATTGAAAATATCTACCAGGAGGTAGGTATATAATTATTAAATCACATAATCAAGAAAACTGAAAAATATATACTATGCTCGCACCATCGTAGCATCATCCGAGCCATAGTAGAACACGGACTTGGGTACTTACCTAGATTATTCATATTAATAATCACGTAGAAACGAAATTCATAAAGTTTCCTAGCGTTCCGGTTCAAGTTTGATGTCTCATTCTTGAAGGTATTTCACTTTTCCTTGAAGGACTTAGTTCCTGCAAGACGCGTATATATTACAAACACTACGACAACGTTGTGTGCTGGGTGAACGATAGGATGAGAAAGTTGACAAGACCGGTACAGGCTTTACCATTGATCGTATCGTCCGATCCAGGACGTCAATCTAATCGAGATCGATCATATCAAAAGGGCCCTCGAGCGCTGGCGATCGTTTGGTGTTTGATTTGGATTCGATCGATTAGATTGACGTCCTGGATCGGACGATACGATCGATGGTAAAGCCTGGACTGGTATTGGACACCAACACTGTGTGTAGCTAGAGTCAGATCTTGTATCCAAGAAACCGCATTCTTGACATCTTGACTGCCAGGGGAGTGTTGTTGCGGTGACTTAATGCACAGCTCCTAACCTACGCGCCACCTTTTATGCCTCCTTGATGTCGTGAAGGGTTTCATGACACCAGAGGACAGTCGTGTTTCCTGGAATGATTTCAATACTTCCATCAGTTATAGTATAGAGAAAACATAATTCATACTTTATTCTGCACTCTTAATCTATCCCTACCTAGATAGTATAGTTTAGAAATATCAACTGGTGGTGCTTTGATAGGTGAGCTCCCTAATCCCCCTTTTTATGCCAACAGCCTGCAATAGGGGGGTGTCAATGGGTCGATGAATTTGATAATTTGATGCCAAATTCTAGTCAGCGAGAGAAAACTAAGGCCTCCTGAATTGAATGCTACCTCGGCTGTAATGAAATGTAAATACATGCTGATTGGTTTTCTATATTTGCGATTTACTAAGATTACTGTTCATCACGAAGGATCCTCTAATAAGATCAGTAACATCTCTTTGATATCAAACTGCAGGCTGCGTCCTTTTGCCCCCCCTTCACGTGTAGGTATCTTAGCCACATAGAACACTCCATTAGGTATTTTGTGGTCTAGAAAGATCTGAAAAGGAAGGCTGCATTGCATATTATAGTACAGATATTAAGGTCATAAGTCTTTGACTGATGTAGACTATTGAGTCGTTCTAACGTAAGCTATTAGGTCGTCGGTGCGCAAACATGCCAGTTTCAGCATAATTGCCACATAATCAGGGGAGTTCACATGACTGGGCGGAATTCGCGGCAAATTTATATACTCGATACATTGAATCATTATAATACAATCGTAAACAGGACCGTAGATACTCTCATGGAATGCCCATATATTCATGTCAGCCCAAGCCCGCATAATAAAATGATTTCCACTCATATATCCCGTAGATCTTCGTGAAGTTGCCGGAGTTGGTATCCGGCAGTGAAATATTGGACGTAAGCCAGCGTTGTTATTGGTGGCGAATGGGTCGAGGGCGTCTAATAAGAGCGCGATTGATGCACTGCGTGCTGACGTGGAGTGTAAGACGGCAGTCACACTCCGCTCGGCTTAGGTCATCGCGTCCGGGGGCAAGAGAGGATATTCGGGTTGCATATTGAATGGAACCGTGACCGCATAGGGCTGCTCGTGAAAGTGGAGGCAAATCTGTAGACGGTGATCCACGGGTCCTAGGTCATGTCTCGATACCCTAAAACCGGTTCACGTTAGGATGCGCGGTACCGCGCTCGAGGTCTGGCAGCGCCCGGACCGTCTCCAGCGTGAAGGTATTTGTTTTCAAGATTTTGTTTTCCTCCTTCAACGAGACCAGATTCTGGGAATCCGAGCTCACTCTGTGCTGGTATCCTGCCCACTGATGCGACTTGCCGCTGGAGTTCTTCCCCCCTCGTGATCCCTTCGAGAGCGAAATGGAACGGAAGTAGGCCTTGGCCGACTCTGGCAAGTGGTGTCTGAGGAATGCCGGCAGCAGCATGAGACAAGAGCAGATGAGCCCGACGTTTATTTCCAATGCCCTAGACGATGGTTAGGCCTTGAGTGTAATTTACTAGTTTTCTCGAGCATAACTTACGCCCATACCGAGACTCGGGCTATGTTGTAGGTGGAGTCTAAGTCGCTCTGTAAAAGCGGCGTCATTCCTAGACGGACAATGCTGGCCGTAACACCGCTAAAAATAGGGGTATCAGTACGGGTCGGTCATGGTGATAGCCATCGGGCATAACTCACAAAATACCAATTCCAAACACAGCACTAAGTCTCATCTTTTGTCTCGTGCCCATATTTAACCCCCAGAGAAGAGGGATGGGAAGGATAAGGACGTAAATATCCACGAACGCATTCCAGGCGCCGGAGAGGTAGGACACGGGGGCAGGAGATGAGCAGTGCCCAGGAATGGAGTCGTCCCACGCCTTTTCGACCGGAAAGCAGAAGAAGATAATCGCGAGCAATATAGCTACGCCCATGAGAGTGACCATCACAATGCCACCGTTAACAAAGATCTTGGCCGTTTTCTGCAGATTGAATAGACGACGGTACAAGAAAAGGAGGCTGAGTTTGATGACAGTGGTCGCCGCGAAGTAAATCTGTGCCGCAATGGTTTGGTACTAAGTCAAGTCTGTTAATGTCACCCTTCATCGAATGGGGCCGCCATCTCTAGGAACACGGACTTTTAATGCTGGAATAAGCCATATAACCGGTTCATCCCATATGTGACGCCCAATTCCCCAATGGAAACCTTTTGACCAAATTAGCGGACAGTTGAGGACGAGACAGCGTATGCTTCAACCTACATGTAAGTATCAAGGCTGAATATGTTGCTGTCAAAGCCTATCAAATGATGGTTAGTTCATCCAGTATAGGATCGAGAGCTCGGCAGTGACTTGCGAATGCTAAGATACAAAGATCTATAGTTCAAAAGTGTCAGTAATCTCTATATCCAACCCAAAAATCGTCCAAAATATGTGAGAAACTCACAATCATCCACGCCAAGTGTGACTCGAGAAACACGCAGTCGCGTGTATATCCTCATTATGACCGACAATGTGCTTATGCTGAGGAAGACGGTATGGATCGCTATATTCCCGCCTAATTGGTTCTCCGGGTTGACAAAGTTGGGGGTGACGCCCGGCGGCGGCGGCACGACGCCCTGCGACCACTGTGACGACATGTCGGCTTTGGATGTTGGTGATGTGAACAAAACAAGAAAACGTAGGATGATTGAGTTGGTGGGCTAGCGCACGCCAAATAGTACGAGAAGGACCGGCAGATACTCATTATTTCGGCCGCGCCTCTTGGCTGATCTGCTCTGAAGGCTGGGTTGGCCCTTGAGCAGATGGAACTCCACCCCTCCATGGCGAATATACGGTTGCAACGCAGGCTTACGACCCTTACGAGCCTTTGGACTAGAAAGGCATGTGTGTTGCAGTGCATGCTTCCTCCAACGTAAGCCGAGGCGAAGGATTAGCCTCAATACCACAGAGCTATGCACGCATAAGGAGAGATAAAACGGTGGAAATTCGACATAACTCTATTCCTATTCCTCTAAGGATCCGTACGCTAAGCTATATTAATCCACGTGTTAATGTCTTACTTAGGCGGTTGTAGTGCAGATGCCCAATGAATTGGGGTTGGTAGCGGAGGTTTAGGTATAGTCTTATACTTGGTATTTATCTAAGCCGTATTTGGGAAGAAACGAATACCCCTCATATTTTTATAATCATGTTATAGCCTATAGGATTAGGTAATATTGTAGATCGCTCAATCATGGGATTGCATTTATGGAATATGTCCCCTCGTTTATGC